CTCAATGGAAATAAGTATAGGGGTGGCTAGTGGAGCAGGGATGAAGCAGAAACCATGTGGAACGGTTCGAAACCGAGAAATGGGACGCATTGTAAGACTCTCATCGTTGTGCCCTTTTCAAAACTACACGATCTCTGCTATTTAATCACTCGCCGCGTATACAGGGGTGGCCAAAAAAGAGACACTTTGCTCCATGGCGCACATCATCAAACTTTTCGTCGCAACGGGTATCCGCTGTTGATGAAGTTTTACGGCAAAGTATCCCTTAGATGTCCTCCAATAAGCGAAGCAGTTCCTGCGCTGCCCTTACTGTCCTCAAAATATGACGTCATTTTGAATCACCATTGGCTCAAGAAGGCCTACCGTAATCGTTCCAGCCTGAAGCTGCTACGAAATTTCTTCAATCGGTTCACTGATGGATTGCTTCCTAGGGACAGTAGCTCTGAATATGCAAGACCCCTTCCGACCAGCGTTTCAGATAACGTCGTAATGGTCCATGATCCGTCGAGGACCAGTTGAGCTCGAACCGTGCACAAGGTTCCCATGGCAAATTCTTGTGATGTCCTTGGTGCAGAAAGCTATTATAACGTTTATTGATAGATGGGATGTGCTCTTTAATATTAAGTTGGGGGCAGTCGATTTGATTTAGCAAAGTGTGATTAATGCTGTCTGAAATGTGATTGAAGTGTCTCCTTTTTTTGCCCACCCCCTGTATCCCTGTGGCGAGTGATTAGATAGTCGGTGGGCGTTCCGGGCCAACTGCGCCAAAGGAAGGCCATGCTAGATCGCCGGGGCATATCCTTCGATGCGAATTGTGTGTTGGTCCGCACCCTTAAGGGTCCGCCTGTTTCTCCACTAGGTAAATTTCTCCTTCTTCGACCTTCCTTCTTATCGTGGAACCTCTTCTTTAAGGATACAGATCAGGAATGGGGACCGAAAAGACGAAACAATTGGATTTCGGTTTTTGAACTGATGGGTATGCTCAAATTGTTTTGTGATCCTACTCATTATTCGTTATTCTTGCCACACAACTAGTTCTATAGTGATGGAAAGTTGATCGATAGCTATTCTCCTGCCATACGCAGCCGCTAACGAGGGGAGGTCGTTCAGGGCGTGGAGCGCTTTTTGAAAACGGTTTTTTGCATGAAATAGGGGCAGGTGCAGTGAACACAGATCTATGGTCCATTTCCGCTAAATGGCCTTCTGAATGCCAAAAAAGGAGTGAAAATCATTTTGTTGGAAACTGCAGTTTTTACTTGTTAAACGTGGTGTGTTTCATTCATGGCGTCAACTATAGGCATAGTAAAAGGTCGTAGTGAACTGTGCATCGAAAATAACGTGAGGTTTAGCCAAAAATGGATCCTTGTCATGCTACATGTTGAGGAGTGTGCTTAAGCTTACTGCTGCTTCGAACGAGGAAGCCCAAGTCTCTGATAGCAGTCACAACCTCTAGCTGAACAGCACCTATTGAATAAAATTAATATAAGCTGGCTCAACTTACGCGTGATACAGTGTTCTCGAAGTGCTACGTTGAAGATATGGTGTGAGAGCTCAAAGAAGGGAGAACGGAAGCGAGTTGTGGTTGAGGACGCGTTCATATTGTCCACCTTGCCCAAGAAGAGCGGGTGGATGAAATGAGGTTTCAAATGGCGCATCACAGATGTTGAACCTTTGCGATGTTTGCCCACGAGACTTGCAGTCTAGCTGCACCTGTTACGCAAATTGTGCCCAAAAATTGGGGATGGTCCACAGAACATGTTTTTGGATATCCCATTTACTCCCAGATGCAGGAGTCCAGAATCGAATTGGTGTCTGTAGCAATGATTTTCTCTGCCGATAACGGCATTTAAGACTATCAAACTGGACCCTGCTCATAAACGAAATTTGTGTGTAATTGTACGCTGAGGCCAAAGTCAGAAGTGTCAACTTTGGATTAACGCGAATGAGGAACTGCCCGAATTGGATCACGAGAAGTCACGTGGGTTCACGTGGATGATTATTATGGCGATGGATTTCTGAGGTGTGCCTCCTTCACGAAGCGAGACGAATTTACGATGGAAAAGCAACCCATTCCAAATTGAGGTAGAGATGGTGAGTAGTACCAGAAAGAAAGCGAAACCACGAAAAACGGCCCAGAACCGGAGAAATGGGACCCCTTCCTTGTCCGTTGATTTGAGCATTGATGGGACTCTCATCGCTTTGCCCTCTTCAACCCTACGCTCTCTCAGCTATCTAATCACTCGCCACCTATTGTACTACGGCGAGTGATCAGACGATCGGTGGGCGGAGATCGCCGAACTCGCCAACTTTGAGCCATGCTAGATCTCAGAGGTTCAAATCTCTTCGATATACACACAGATTGCCGGTCCAAGACGCACCCACAAGAATCACGCCGCCTCTCCCCACCACCCCCTTAGGCGATTTCAACCTTCTTCGACCTTCGTTCTTTCCGTGCAATCCTCCTTTAAATGGCTCTGTCTGTCGGGAAAAAACCTCCGGCGTTTCTCAAGTTTATGGCTTGTTTCTTAGCGAACAAATTGACAAAGGAATAGCAGTATAAAACTACAATAACGATATCATCACCTATGTCGATACCAGACCCTACATAGCTCATATTGCTCACGGGTATTTCGATCAAACGGATATTGTGGCCTCTTCTTATCAGCCGTATTTTCCCAACTGCAGCCATGCGACCTCAGCTGTTTTATCGAACTGAACGCCCTACTCGTTCGGAAGCGCTACGACAATTCGTTGATCATCTATACTGACATCAAAAGCATCTTGTCTATACTTGTTGAAATGAAGAAGCTGCGCAGCCGGACCCTGCCGCCGGCGTTCTAGACCAGGCCCCATCGGAGTTCGTAACGAGACGAAGTATTGTGTTGACCTCCACACCAAAGAATTAGCTTTTTATCTTTCCTGAGGTTCATTTTATTCGAATAAGACCGTGGACATATTTGAATGAGATGCCCTAATGAAATACAGAGAAACAGGCATTTCCTTGAAAGCGGTTGCCTTTTCCTGTCCTCCTCTTAAGAGTTCTTTGGTTTTGAGAACCGCATGGATCCGCCCCTCCGAAGTTACTCACAAACAGCAATACGCCAAAGTTCATACATCCCCAGATTTGATGTGCCGACCAGGCCTTGCGTTTTTCATTCCGGCGCAAATGCCATTAAAAGCTGTTCAAACAACGCCGGTTACGTATATATTGCTTCCAAAACTTCAATGTAGGGAGTACTGTACCACATTTGCAAAACACAGAATGTTTCTACTCCCTCATTTCCTCCATTCATGACAAACATTTGTTTCGGGATCATTACTCACAACAGAACTCACTCTGATATGTCCTTCCAACCTAATACCATTCCCCCGACCTTTGTTTAGATTCGTTGTTCACCGTGCTCCCACATCTTCCGTAGAACCCCGCTTGCAGATGCTTTCCGCAAGCTACAGGTCGACCATCCATTTGCGAATTTAATTGTCATCCCCCCACAGTTTACCGAGTATTTTATTCGCACAATAACTGCGGCCCCCAAACACTCCCCTAGCAGCGTTGCGCAACCCACAAAACAACCACCCAAATTAACCGCCTCCCAACCCCCACAAAACATACACTAGACGTGCCCAACACGCCACCCTCCTCATTATTTGGAACAACCTTTCCCCCTTAGTTTGTCCACTTAAAATCTTTCGATAGGCGCTGAAGCTTATCTCCAAAGAAGTCCGCAACTCAGCGCACATAAGATCGCTTCCAAGGCAACAGGCCCCTGGGCGTCTCGATTCTCATGTTGGCTTTCTTCAGGCTAAATTGTTCAATTTCTTCAGTCAACCCTAATTATCGTGAGCCCTGTCTTTCTCACTGACTACCGACTGAGACCTTCCACGCGTCAAGAAGCCATCGAATAGATTCAACCAGTAAGATAGATGGGGACACGCCTGTCAATCCACGCGTGCCCGTTTGACTACCTCTACAGGTTCTCTTCCTTTTAAATCGAGAGTGATCCCACGTCCACCACGCCGCGACTGACACAACGTTCCGGTGCTATATCCGGCGCCATTGAGAAGGAATCTGAACAAAGTTAGCGCTATTTGTCAGAGCGCTTTTGGTATGACAGGCAGAGAGCTGAGACAAGTCGATAAAGTCGCTAAGGTTTGAAATATGGAGTTTGTCATGCTCTTTGAGCCCGAATCAGCTCTAACCCGATCTGACATCATCATGTTCCTATTGGTTTCCCATAGTTCCTTCGAATGACCATCCATCATACTCATCGGTGATGTGGACTGGGTGCAGTGTGCTAACCGCAGTAGCTTTGCTCAAACGATTCGGGAGTTCTGACAGCAAAACCCAACTCCCTCTGAATTCTTCCTTCCTGAGTCGTTGGCGGAATACGAGAGGGCTTTGCGCTGGAACTGGCACCAACTAATACCAGTGTCAGTGATGAAGATAATCGTCGACAGCTTGATGGCGACGCCTTCAAAGTGAAAGCAAAGTAAGACAAAACTTTTTTTCAAGGACGTTAGAGTCCTATTGCTAAGAAAATACATGGAAGGTTGGTGACTCTCGGGTGGTCATATGGTCACCTCTCTAGTTCACGTCCTGGAGAAGAAATCTTTACTTGAATCACCATGATGTCAAAATCGACATTTTTCTTCGATCAGAACTCTATGAAATTCTACAAGAGAGACACTGAATACCCACCCTCGCATTGGCGATATGTTGGTAATAATGGTGATGTATACTATGCTGAATAAATACATCAGAGAAATAAGATAAGTAATTGAATCGAAAAACACCAAAGGTTCTCAAAAATTATGGACCGACCTAATAGTTCGAGGAGCTATCTGTGGAACTAATTGCTGTGACTTAATTGGAGACTTTCAAAGGTCTGCTTTGAGCGAACCAGGTTCTGTGAACATTTCCAAGCGTGCTTTGTTACTGAGGTCAGTCAAAGAAAGTGCGCATCATTCCATAACAGGGGGAAAACAGGTTCTGCCAGAGGCTCAACTATGTGATTCAGTACAGTGTTCTGACCAGTTTCATGGCAAATGTGCTCAAATGTGCTTATTCCTCAAGTTCTTATCTCAGTTTGAGGTATGCCGTTGATTGTGTTTTTTTACTCAGTCACTTTCAGGAGACAGCCAATGGAGGATTTCCACAAAAAGCAGATAACTCTGGATCAAAGAGGAATAGCAAGGATCTCTTCAGCGGTCAAAACGCACCAAATGGCTTCTTTCCTCCAATGCAACAAAATGGGCAATACTCTCAGATGGAGCGTGGGACACAGAATGGAGGTTTCCGGGATGATCGTCAAGAACAACAAAATTTTCTCCAGAACCTACAGTCTCAACAGAACGGAGGCAATAGATTTGAAGGAGGACGGGTACCCATGATCAATGGTGCTTTTCAGAATGGCCAGAATGGAGGCTTCAACCAAGGAGGGCAGATGCCCATGAACAATGGTGGCTTCCAGAATGGCCAGAATGGTCAAAATGGAGGCTTTAACCAAGGAGGGCAGATGCCCATGAACAATGGTGGCTTCCAGAATGGCCAGAATGGTCAAAATGGAGGCTTCAACCAAGGAGGGCAGATGCCCATGAACAATGGTGGCTTCCAGAATGGCCAGAATGGTCAAAATGGAGGCTTTAACCAAGGAGGGCAGATGCCCATGAACAATGGTGGCTTCCAGAATGGTCAGAATGGAGGCTTCAACCAAGGAGGGCAGATGCCCATGAACAATGGTGGCACCCAGAAAGGACAAAATGGAGGGCTCAACCAACCACAGAGACCTGCGGACAACAACGGTTTCAAGAACGGCGGCCAGAATGTCCAGAATAGTGGGCCCCCACGCATCGGACAAGGTGTTATGGTCGAGGATTCACCACAAGGGAAAGTGAATAATGGAAGTTTCCAAGGCCAACGCCCGTTGAATCAAGGTGCTCCTTCTTCCAAACAGTTCGGTGATGCAAGAAAATTCTAGGGTATAGTGGGTCAAACCAAATGCGAAGCGTATAGCATCCTGTTTACAGATCATCAACAGCTTTATCGAAATGTCTGAATAGTCATTGTCTGAAACTTCAACAAAAAGTTATTATCACAGAAATAAATCTTTTTCACAAATTGCTTTTGATGCGTTCAGAATGTCGACTGCTACCCTTTACATCCTCATAAAGAGGTATCATGACTGTGATCCTCTTTTTTCTATCCTTAATTGGTTAATTGGTTACAATTTGAATGAAATCGGTTCTCTATACCGTATCGGCAAGATGAACAAGAAAGAAATCAAGGATGCTATAGATACTTTTACTGGTTACATTCTTCTACTGCGGTTAGAGTAAAGTGTAAAAATACTGAGTAAAATGACAATGACTATTGAAGATACAGTAGGAAATTGGGGTTGATCAAGAAATACAGCCTAAACTGCAAAAAAATGCTGCTGTGGACCAAAGTCCGGTGCCGATGGCGACTGCGTCAGGTTTTTTGTGGAACTTCAACTGTATAAAAGACTAAAGGTGAAAACTGGTGCGATAATACCTGGTAAAAAACAAAATGAATCGAAATTATTAGCCTCGTGGGCTCAAACTCATACCACGGGCGACCCTACCGTTGCTCCTTTTTGAGAATTTTTTCTACCCGCATCCCTTCTCGGGGTTTTGTTACGACCCTGTGAACGTGCTTCTATGGAAATATTAACCTTATGTATGGACGGAGAAGAAACTCTAGAGCGCACGATCCCGTTCTCCACGGTGTTCCTGCCTCAATCAAATGAATTTCGATTAACTTTGCACCAGCCTCTTTCGTTGTTCATAAGTTCCTCAAATTCAAAGTTGGGCGCGAAGTAACAAGACTAAGAAAAGGTTGTGCGAGATTTTTTTGACCTTCAAACGATCACCTTTCATCAAGCTCCTTAACCCGGAAGGCTGGACGAAATATGACAAAGTTCAAGGTTCAGCTCTCTAAAAATTACTGGAGCCCTTACGAAAAATTATAGATTCGAAAATTAGTCCCGTTGGAACTTCTGGGAGGTTTGTGGGATTGATTTTTGGAGCCGCAAGTTTCAACCTTCAAATGCTCGCAACTTTCTTCACACTCACTAATTTGGGAAGCTGAACCAAGTACGGCAAAAGAGGGTCAACCTTTCTGAAAAGTGCTAAAGCTTCTCCAAAAATCACCAATTCTAAAATTTGTCCCATTCGGACTTTTTTCAAACGCCCTTCAAGCCATTTTCTTGTAAACTTTGAACGTGCTGGAAAAGTACAATGCGGTGCAAAATCATGGGACAACCCCCCCCCCCCTCCAAAAAAAGATATGAATATCTCGACTACTAGAAATCGCCATTCAAAAAATCAAAATCGAAAATCAAAAAAAAAACCAGAACCACCTTCATAAAAAAAACTACACATAAAAGTTACTTACTAGGTTATCGATTCAGTTTACCATATTTTTAGATAAATTTTTTAATTTTAGAGCCGCTGCAAAAATCTAATTTTGGAACTGGTGCAAAATCATCTTGTCGGTTTAGTATTCCAAAGGGAACTACCCAGCAGAATTATTCCATTCTCTCAAGAAGAAACTCTGCCGCAGATTTTCGTACATTTTTAAATTCGAACTGGTACTCATCAGTGGGGTCCTTTGCTTCGACTCTAGTTTTGTTTGATCACTGAGCATTTGCGCGGCCATTGCTAGCAAAGAATCCCCAGGTGAGTCTCGACAAACTTCAGACGTGCACCCCTTGCTGACCATTCCGTTGAAGTCACTAAGTTTGTTTGTAACCGTTGGCTCATTGGAACCCTCGCATGCTAAGATGTGTTACTTGTCAGAAAAGTAGTCTTTCACGCGAAATCTGTAAAAGAGAGGAAAGCAGTTGGTTTTCTGCGTCTGTCCTGCTCTCTATTAAACTCTTCCAGGGTTGAAAAACCTTAGGTCTGAGACTCATGATCAGGATGTGGTTGCGCATCCACACATGCTTAGGAGACTACCATGAAAAGTTCGTAGGGAAATATCGTCGGAACCTGGCCTATATTCCTCCACTAGTGAACAGCCTCGTCTGAACCATCTTTATTAAACTTCCTTGTTACCAAGGAAAAGCGGTCTGGAAGGAACAAATGCTCATAATCTTGAATGAAAATTTGCTCAACAAAGCCCAGCCTTGGCCCAGTCTTTCGTTTGAATTTCTCTTCTCTGGTTTCAGTCAGAACGCCTAACGAGCATGGCAGCACGCTTCGCAGGACCCTACGCTAGTTGTCCATATCAATGATTTTGCCATGGATTTCATTTCTATCCGCTTTCTTCGTAGAGCTGACACAGGCTGAGCGTGCATGGTGATTTTGTTCGATGTAGTCTTCGAGGTTATAGCCAATCCTTTTGGAAGGTTCTGCTATTTATCCTGGTGCTCTCTTATTTCTATTCGTAGTGAGAATTTGGAGCACCAAGCTATGGTTTTCTTTGAGCTCCTAAAAATGGCTTCGATGCTCATGGTAGAGCCATCAGGCGCGTATAAAAAGAAAGTCTGGCTTTCACTCGCGGAGGGAGGAGAGCAACTCAAACCGTAACTCTAATAGAGTTGCCATACACCAAATAAGTGCTACTATCGTTGCTGGTTGGATAAAAAAATCCAACAGTAAGGAGAATTCTGAGGGGTGTCCTATGATTTTGCAACGGCTCCAAAACTAAAAAAATTGTCTAAAAATACGGAAAACTAATCGGATAACCGGTAACTTGTGGTTATAGGTTTTCTTATAAGGGCGGTTCTGATTTGATACATAGGTAGCGATAAACGATCTTTTCTAGAAGCCGGACACTCATATTTATTGGGGTGTCCTACGATTTTGCACTGCACTGTATTTGTGTGCGTCCCTACAAATTGACTCGAGTATTTACGGAAATACCTTTCTTTCAAAAAATTTCTCTTGTAAAAATTTTCTTTTTGCTTCGTGGAGTCATCCCTCATACTACTGAAATTTTTTGAGATTCTTATTCCATCCAGTGACATCGAAATTCTTCTGAAACAGTTTTTTGCTACTTAGAACTCAAATAAAAGCGCTTTGCACTAACAATAACTCTGCCATGGTGTGCGCCGCGCCCGCGCTGTGCTTTTAATTAGCCGCTGTATTTCAGTCGT